GTTTTATTAGGTAAATTAGATTTTCTTCTATTAAAAAACTTGTAATAAATAAATAAATAGGTAATTATGTTAGAGTTTAATATAAACTCTTTTAGAAACTTTTTTTATATCAATTAATAAATATTTTTTATTTTAATAATTATTGTCTAATTAGATTTACTTTTAGTAAAAAAAAAATTCAAAATAAATAGATAAATAGGTAATTTGTGTTTTAAAACTCTTTAAAAACCTCCTTTTGTATCAGTTAATAAATAATTTTTTATATTAATAATAGTTGTCTAATTAGGTTTCATTTTATTAAAAAACTCATGATAAATTGATAAATTGGTAATTTGTGTTAGAGTTTTATACAAATTCTTTAAATATATCTTTGTTGATAGAGTTTTATTGATAATAAAATAGGTAATTTGTATTTTACTCTGAAATTCTGGATTTCTAGAATTCTCAATTTCTGTACCCCTTTCTCCTTCTTCCATTTCTCTATTTATAGGCTTCTTGGATGAATAGGATGATGACATGTGTCCTTTTCTGATAATGACATAATCATAATTGGGCCGAGTATATTGTGATAATTATCTATAAAAAATAACTAAAAATAAGAATTTTATATAGAATGTGATTGATTTTTTTAGGTAATTTTTAGAGTTCTATAGAAACAATAATTATTCATAAAAAATAACTAAAAATAAGAGTTTTATATAGAATGTGATTGATTTTATTAAGTAATTTTTAAAGTTTTATATAAACTATTTTTATAAAAATTATTTTTATATTAATTAATAAATATTTTTTTATATAAATACTGAAATACTGAAACACTTTACATATTTAATAATTTATTTTTATATTAATTAATAAATATTTTTTTATATAAATACTGAAATACTGAAACACTTTACATATTTAATAATATATATTTTCTTCTTCGTTTTTCAACAGAACAATAAACTTATACCGCTCAATAATAATTAACATCTTATGACACGATAAATGTTAGATTTACAAGATTTCAATCAACTCCAACGCACACACACAGTATGACATCAATACAGTTTCTCATATATAGGATATATAGGATACAACTTCTGAACTTTACCTTCACAACCCCACCAAACCCACCATCGCCATCACTTTATAGTTCCGTTAAGCAAAAACCCCAAATTAGCGAATCGTATGTTTTCTATTGTTCAGAAAGGAATCAAGTGAAGAATTGTTGATGACGAATCCATCGTTACAGATTGTAGAAACCTTAGACAAATTAGGGTTTTATTTCATCCCAATGCAACACCAACCGCTCTGATCGATTCATTCGGGTTCGGACGAGGACAGAGAGTGTTCTGTCTGATTCCTCTAGTCGTGTGCCTAGAAGAACCGCCAATTTAGCCTAACTTCCTCCATGACCTCACCGCCAACGGGTGGATTCCAGTGAGGGTGAACAGCTATGAGACGCGGTGGGTGGGTTGGGAGTGCATGGAGGAGGAGAGGAAGATCGGAGAGGATGGATTGGATACGATTTTGTTCACCAGTTCAGGAGAATTGTTGAGGAGTTTGACAAAGATGATCGAGTTTGGATTGGATTGGAGATACTACTGGGATGTGTGTATATATGTCTGTGTGTTTTTATTAGTATAAATTTATGGCTTTCGGTGAAAGGTGGAGGGAGACCCTTATGGTTAATAAGGGTATTTTTGTCATTGTAAGATTCTGATATTTTTTTATTAAAGATTAATATTTGAGTGGAGGGTAATTTCGTCTTTTTATCCTTTTCAAGGGCTTGTTTGGATCAGTTTTTTGACGGGGGTGTCAATGTTAAAGAATAGGCTAAGTTTCATCTGCCGTCAATAAGATAAACTTTAAAAGGTGTGAATGTAATTAATCCTAAATATTTTTATAGTTGGGGGTTATTTGCCAAGTCAAGAAGCTACTTGCAAAATATTTATTTAAGGGGATGTTTTGCATTTCCCATTTTAGATGTTTGTTTCTAAAATTACCTTTGATGAAAAATCATAATAATCTTTTGGTGAATTTCTACATTTGGATGCCCCATAATCAATTTGAGAGTTATCAAAGATTGGAACTCAATAGTAATTTTCACCTTTCAAAATAATAAGTGTTTAAGTCCCATAAGAACACGTGGGTTTGTGAGTTTCTTACCCTCTCGCACCTTCACAACTTAGATTGTGCTCTATGCACTAATGGCTAGTTGTAAATAATTAATTTTTTAATTATGGAGTATTTTAGATGATTTGGTTGTCCATTTGTTGAAGTGAGTTTGGATTGAGAAAGCAAAGATAAAAGTTAACAGGGAAGATGGAAAGTTTTGTTAATTCCCATAATTATTGATTAGATATATATTGAATAATTAATACGGTTGAAAAATGTGGAATGAGCCATGAGAGGAAGGAGGATAGAAAAAAAAAAAATAAATAAATAAAAAAAAATAAAAAATGAACAGGAAAAAAAAGGAAAGAAGAAAGAGATAATAAGAATAGAAATTAGAAGTAAAATAAATAAATAAATAAAATAAAATAAAAAATGAACAGGAAAAAAAAGGAAAGAAGAAAGAGATAATAAGAATAGAAATTAGAAGTTTTAATAGTAGTGGAATGAATAGTTTTAGAAATAAAAAAGAAAAGTAAAAAAAAAGAAAGAGATATTAAGAATAGAAATTAGAAGTTTTAATAGTAGGTGGAATGAGTAGTTTTAGAATGAATTAAATTCTTTGTATCCACTATTGAATTTCTATCATTAGTTGGGGTCTAACTTTAATAAAATAAGGAAATAATAACTTTAGGGGTCTTTCTATGGCGGAGGCATTAAGAGATCGTCTAAATGGCCCAAGTCTCTAATTTAGGGGTGGCAATTCATGTTCGCAAATCATAATCGTGTTGTGTCTGACCTAAAAGTAAATCCAAAAACGACTAATTTAATAATTGTGTCAATAATGCTCAACACTAAACCGACATGTTTATTAAACAGGTTACACGTGTTAACCTATTTACCAAAACAAGACATTTAATATTTAATTATCCATAAACCCTTCAATCAACCCAGATATTCAAAGTAAGAAGAAAAAATATCAAACAACCTCATAACCCAGTAGATAGAATACAAATGTAAAAATATCTAACCCGGCGTTTTCAAGATTTATGTTTAAATGACTTAATTGTTCATACTAATTGGATCTAAACAGAAAACACGGGTCATATTCACGATTATGACAGGTTGAGTTAAACGGATATAAATGGATTAAACCCTTCAATCATAACACGACATAATTAAATAAACGGATTAATCGTGTCAATCCGTTTATAATCCATATCTAATTAAGGTAATTCCGTGCCGTATTTGAATCGTGTTGGCGGTCAAAATTTGCCGCACCTAGTCTCTAGTAGGCCTGCCCATTCAAAGTGTGTTCTTGGTTGCTTAACTAGCTTTATGTTATATCCACCTAACTCCATCAAACATTCATATATTTTGATAGGACCGATGCATTTATCAAGTCATGTCTCATGCTAAATGTAGAACCCACAAGTTAGAGCCTCACAGAAATCTCAAGTCTGTTTATTGTATGTTTTTTAGTCCATTGTTCATATAGGTTTATGTAATTTAAATTTACTGCTGGCTTTAGGCTACACTCATGCATGATGGACTTTGTCTTGTCACAAACTTGTCAAATGGAAGATTATAAGGTCATGTTCGTAAATTCACTCCTGAAACCAAATTATAGAGTTGCATTTTTGTTTTGAAGTCATGTCCAAGGAGAACTCCAAAGGTCAACTGAAATAGGTTTAAAATGTGGACATGTTTAATTTTTTTTTAAATTTACTGGGTAAAAGACGGTGAATTGTATACATTGTTTTTCTGCTCCAGTATACTCAGATTTTGCATCCTTACTTTTGGAAAAAAAAAAAAATCACTCCAAGTAAGGGGTGCAAGCCAGTTGGGTCCAACTGGGCTTTCAATTTTCTCAATTTGATATCATTTTCGGATTGGAGTCGTGTTCAGCCGTTTGAAACCTGAACTGAATCCAAACCCAACTCGTATTTTAAATATATTATAACTTTTACTATATTAGATACGAATGTAATCTTAACCATCCATTTTGATCAAATGACTTATTTATATTCTATATAACAGTATTTATCTCTTCACCAAATCCCAAACCCTAGGCAGCCCCCAAAATGAGAGATAAACCCCAGAGTGAGGAATATTATATAAAGTCAGGCATGGAGCAATTGCTCTTCTAAGGCATGAGTAAGTAACTGATGTCTGGAGATAATGAGGTATCTGAAACAACTGAATGTTGGAGTGTAGAGGTTGTCTTTTTCAAACAGTGGGTTGATTTATGCTTCTCTCAGTAAGAAAGACATCAAAATAGAAGGTACGAAAAATAGAAAGGAGAGATGAGACACCTCATAAAACATGTATCTCTCTTTTTTATTTTTCCTAGTTGGGTTCGCGCACACACATGCCACCACTGAGGCTCAAATCCCTGATCTCTCTTTGAAAAGTAGGAACTTAATACCGCTAAGTCACTAGCCTGCTGGTAACATGTATCTCTCTTCTTGTTTGGTTGGTCAGGTGGAAGGGAGTAGAAGAACTGTAGAAGGAGGTGGCACCTTCCATTGTTTGCTATGAATGAAGAATGACGTATTTTATACAGTATTTCTTTAGCCACTATACCCTTATTGCATAATATACAAAATATGATGAGGGGTAATAACGTCACTTTACATAATATATTATACTTATCCTTCTCTTTCCAACTTCCTTCCCTCCACTTTTGAAGATCGAAAAATGGCAGATTAGGGCGATGCTTCATCCATCCATCCTTCCCTTACATCCTACTTTTTCTTGTACCAAACAAAAACATTTCACTCTTATCCCTCCTCTTTCCTCTTGTCGCCTTCTTTCCTTCCTACCAAACGTATCATTAAATCTCAATAACAACTCATAGATTTTTTTCAAGTAAAAATTAAGTTGTCTCTATTTTTTACTTTATTATTGTTGTGTGTTGGAGGCTAATAAATTAATAATAGTTGACATTTACTTGACATCAGTAAAAAGTTATGAAGAGCAAAGGAGACCAATTGGACCCTCTCTCTTCTATATCTATCTATTTACACCATATGTGCCACTACCAAAATTAAAATAAACCAAGATATTTGAAGGGGGAAAAAAAACATGTTATAGTTTAACCGACATTCACCATCAAAACCTGTAACCTAATGGTATTTCCTCTCATTTCAAAGTAAGGTCGAGGGTTGTGAAATGATGAGAGCAAGGACAGGCATGTTTTTATTCACAAACATTGGAAAAACAATTCATTGTCTAGCCAGGATCTGCCAAACCAAAGGAACCATCAGGGCAAGGATGTCTGGATGTGTGAAAATATTAGAGCCAGGAAAGGCATGTGTTTCATTCACAAACATTGGACACCAATTCATTGTCTAGCCAGGATCTGTCAAAACAAAGGACCCATCAGGACAAGGATATTTGAAATTATGAGAACCAGGAAATGCATGTTTTTCATTCACTGTCAAGAAATGTATACCAGGAAATGCATGTTTTTCATTCACTGTCAAGAACTGTATACCGGGATGCCCCGAACCCACCTTGACTGCAATGAGGGACAGGTTTGGAAAGAGCTTTTCATTTTCAGGGCGGATTTAGGATAGGGACCTAGGGTGCCCGTCCCGAAACTGCCCCCATTGACATCCCTAAGACTGACTTATCTTATGGATTAACTAGTTCAAGGATATATTTTTTTCCCATTAGGAAAGTGACCTCATAGTATTATGCAGATACAAGCAGAATACACACAGTGTTGCTCTATCAGAAGTCCATCATTTAGTCCCTGAATCTATATCTCAACAGGATCAGTTCCTATGCAAATGTTGAGCTTTACATAAGGCCTAAAGGAATATAAAGTAATTCAATCTTTTAAAGGATTTATACTACTCGCGTTATTAAAACTATACTCTAAAAGCTTAAACTGTTAAAGAGGGTGTAGCTTTAACATTTGTATCCTCTAACAAAAACTACATATAAATGTTCCGTCTGCCTATTACTTAGTGAGGTACACATATCAACCATACCAATCTACAAAAATAGACGGGAATTTGGTTTGGGGAAATTAGATTCAAGGACAGTAAAGAAAAAGTCTCCATAATTTCCAAAACATTTTCCAGGAGTAACGAACAATAGTATCAGATAATGCCGCAAAACTAAATTCATGTTTACACAAATGTATTTTAAGATTACTGAACAAATCCAGATATTGAACTAGTAATAGAACTTTCTAATTTTATTCATTCTATGTACGGTATATCTTGCCCATAATTATGGTTGATTTGGCCCAGATGTGCACACCAAAACGCCCTAACTTACATCTAACTACTGCATAATTAGCATTTTGGAAGTGCTTATCCAACCAATCAGTACTTCAGTTCTCTCTTTTCAAAACCATTAAAAAGGTTTAAAATATATATACAGAGAATTAACAAACCCACTCACGGATCAGTTGGACTCATTTCTTTGCCTGCGCATCCGTGCTCCCCATGACATTTTTCCTCTGGTGTCCTTGTTCATGCTTCTTCTCTTCAACTCTGATAGCTGAGCCTGCCAACAGTTCTTCCACGTGCTTCTCTCCTCTATTGCCTAATTGCAAATCAAGCCCATATAAATACAAGGTGACATAAAAAATAATTCTAATATGATATTGAAAGAACAGTTCTAGTAAAGCAACTGTAAGTACAAAATTTGGCGAGAAGATAAAACACCGTGGTAATTGAATATGTCCATTTCATCTCTTTATGCATTTTTGGAGGCAAAAATCTACCATCAATGCTATAAATACATGTAAAATACGAACCCCCTTCCCATATTACTTTAAATGACCAAAAGAAAATCATTTTATGGAACTCGAAAATGATACTAGTTTACAGAAAATTTACAACCTTAATAATTACTGATGCTGTCTATACACTAGCAAAAACAGAGTGGTCTCTTTCCAAAAGGGTCTTAAACCAAAAGGAACTGATTCAATTAGACTTCCAAGACAGACCAGAGATAAATTTCCGAAAGGTTCAAATGTTTCCAAGAGATTCAGTTAAGGAATTATAAATTGAAATCCTTAGAAAAAGATCAAATATATGTCCCATGACTTGAGTAAATGGACACAATTTTACACTCTAGTAAGGTCAGGTGATGTTAGACCAGGAAAACCACCAAAGTATAGATAGATACAAGGTCATAGATGTGTCGGTGCGTGCCTGCACATGTCTCTTTGTAAATTGCTATAAAGAACATTTATATTTATCTACATTTATGCGAGTGATTTAATGCTGAAAACCAGACGCAGTAAACAACAATGGAAGCATTAACTTCCAATAAAATTGTTGACAAAATGAACAACCGCCTTGCCCTTCTTCACATTTTTTATAGTACATAAAAGGGCATTTTTCTGAAGTATTCAAAATCAACTATGAGGTATATAAGCAATTTACATTCTTCTAAATTGAGATTAAAAACAATGGTGTCTGGGACAAACAAAGAAGAGATGGACCACCATCTCCCTGTTTCCGAAGTTGTGTTACGAAAAAATAATAATAATAGTGACGTAATTTTGAATCATCAGATATATGAGATATGGTGTTGAAGAAATTAATTAAAAAAATTAGTAAATATCATAAAATTCAGAATCATCTGTTTTTCCTTGAGAAATTGCATACATTTGAGAACCACATATATGAAGTACTAGAAAATTATCCTAGAGTCTGAAAAATGTATCTGTATCCGTATGGATTCGGCTCTTCTAATAGAAGTATTTATGCTTTAATATGGCACAAACAACACAAACTATAAATTCTTCTGAAAAAACAGAAATTATAAACATGCAAAGGTATTAAAAACTACACAAGCAAAGAAAAAACAGGAAGACAAGAAAAAGAGGAACTGGAATTATTAACAAATAAACCTGCAAAAAATCCTAATCCAAAATTGATTTTTTCAGGAACACAATAAACCACCAAAAAAAAAAAAAAAAAACAAAGAGAAAAGATCATAACAATCCAAGAACAACACCAAGCTAACACACACACAAACCATTTTGTACAGACAGATACACCAAATTGTCCACAACCCAAACCAATTCGAACCAATTTAAATCACACTAAAAAAAAAAAAAAAAAACAACACCCACATCATTTATCAAACACACCAAGAAGACAATCAAAATAACCACTTTAACACACACACACATATATGATCACCAAAATACCTCATCACTTTGGTAACGCCTTCGAGCGGAGAAGGCGAGGTGAAGCCCCTTTGCCATGTCTCTGTCATACAAAGCCCGACTTCTCGGATCCGACAACGTCTCGTAGGCCTCCTGCACCCGAATAAACGCCCGCGTGTACTCCTCGACCCGACCCGGAGGCGACACGTCCGGGTGATACTTCCGGGCCAACTGCTTGTACGCTTGCTTGATCTCCACCATCGTCCCCGTCTCGGAGATCCCCAGAAGCTCGTAAAAGCTCATCATGTCTACATCCCCAAGCGCAGTGACGAACCCGTCATTGATTGCGGCCTTGGTCCTGACAGATCCGACCCGGGTCAGGACCGAAAGTGTAGAAGATTTGGGGAAATGGGTGGGGAAGGAAAGGCGGAGAAATGGGTCGGGCGTGGAGGTGCGAGCGTGGAGGAGGGTGGGTTGTGTTGGGAGGAGAGAGAAGCGAGAGTCGCTTCCTGAGATTAATCTATAGCTGCAGCACATCTCTTTCTCTCTCTAAGTTTTTTTTTTTTTTTTTTCTCTCTCTAAATCGCCTGCTAGTGGGGGAGTTAATTGGAGGATTTAAATAATGGTGTGGAGTCTCCCACTTCATAGTTCATACCTCTGTTCACAAAGCGTCCAATTTTCAATAAAGAAACAAAAAAGTTGTTTTGAGTTTTCAATAAAGAAACAAAAAAGTTGTTTGAGTGGAGAGGGAAGGGAGAATGACAGAGATAATTGAAACAAACAACGGAATTGAAGAGGAGACCAAAATCTTTTCACTCATATGTTGGATTAACGGGACCCAACGTCACCAATATATATATATATATATATATATATTTTTCGCTGATACATGTCACCAATTACATTTGGTTGGTTTATTCATTTTGGGTACCACGAAGTGGAAGGTTTTAGTATTACAAAGAAAATGACTTATAAGGTCACCTGAGAATAAAGTGGAGAAAATTTTCCACCGCCGCTAGACGGTTCCCGCAATTACAGCTCCACAAGTAAATAAATATGTTAATTATATTTAAATATCTATTTATTTATCATATTATGATTGGGTGGGAAGAGATATTTAGATTACATAATTCCGCACAATTACAGCTTGACATATAAATAAATTAGGGCTTAAAAATGTGTTGTCTTATATTGGTTGGGTGTGATGATTGAAGAAGGATGTTAGACAGAATAGATAGAAGAACATTTTCCTTGTTTGGTTGAAGGAAAGGAAGAAAAGGAGAAAGTAAAGAAGGATGGAGCTAATCTATTTTTTTGCAAGCTTTTTCATCCCTCCAAAATTGGGTGAAAGAAAGGGAAGGAAAGAAAAAAAAACTTACCTTATAAATATGTAACATAAAATTTAACTTTTAATCACTTATGAAATCACTTGTTACATCCTATTGAAATTCTCTCACACGTATTATGAGGATATATTAGTAAAAAAATATATAAAAATTCCCATTTGTTTTTCTCAAACCAAATAAAAAAATTAGGTGTCAACCCCCCTTCCCAAATGTCTCATCCATCCTCCTTCATTTTCCTTCCATCAATTTCTTCATTCCTCCAACCAAATCGAGCATTGAACAAATACAAATAAGTTAAAAGGAGAAAGTAAGTTAAAAGGAGTCGAGCCTTGTTTTTAAAGACACTTAAACCCTCTTACTTTTATTTAGCGGGGTAGAAGTGTACCACTGGGTTACATCTCTTAACTTGAACAAACTTTACCGGGCTTGATAAGGTATTTGTATAAATTTGGACTTGGGCTCTAATGTCTGGTTAGGCCCAACTCAAATTACTTAATTTTTGTCTATTGGCCCAGTCTGGTTTTGGGCTGAGAGGCTTCGTAAAGAAAAAAAGAAAGAGTTAAATACTTTCATGCTTGAATATAATTATTATCTTAAATTTTCTACTTAATATTCTTGTAAATGGTCGCTTTGTGTCGTGGTAAAGAATTAGTTGGCAAATATGAAACCACGAATTTGAATTTTACAAAATGTAAAAAATAGTGTGAAATGTTGGGTCCAATAGTTTTTCCACCAACCACTTTAATGTAGGGAAGGTTTGCACTAGAGGATTATAATTTATATAATTAATTAGTAGACTCTTAGTCTAGTAATACTAATTAAATATTAATACTCCGTCCGTATTGACGTACTTTTAATACTTATCAGAATGTTGTGGAAAGGTTAGCCACCCTAACCACTCTTTCTAGAATCTCAAAAGGTTCAGATAATTCTTTGCTAATGCTTTCTTGTCCAATACTAGCTTTTCTTTCATTGCGAACCACACTGGAAAGTGGTGATGACATGCTTGAAAATTAAGACACTTCAACCACTCTGCTAATGCTTTCCTGTCAAATACTTACTTTTCTTTCATTGCGAACCACACTAGAAAGTGGTGATGACATGCTTGAAAATTAAGACACTTCAACCATCGTAGAGAATTTCGCGGGGCTCACCATCATTCTATAATTGTTTAGTTCCATCTTTTCTAGGTTTTCTAAACCGCAATGATAATCTATGTCTTCATGACAAGTCCCTAACGTCAATTTCATACCTCATCAAATCTTTCTATAATTTAAAAAGGTCCAAACACGTACTTTGAGAAATTTGTTTTTAAGACCTTTTTTTCTGCAATCTCAGAGGTCTCGTGAACTATCATCTCTCTCCAAGGAAATCAGAGAAATGATTTTTTTCCCCTAATAGCATATACGTACACCAGCAATTGAGATTTTATTTATAAAGCCTTCATACATTTCTCGTTGGCCAAGGATTTTAAAATTTATCTAGAAAGAAGTTATCAAAACAAAAAAAGATTCTAAATTAAAAGTGTCTTATGTTGCGTTTGGTGTAAAAGAATGAAATAAAATGAAATATTCATTCCAATCATTCATTTGTTTGATACGCAATTTAAAGTGAGAATGGCCATTTCATTGAAATAAAAATCCATTACACCTATAGAATGACCATTCAATTCCCAAGTAAATTTTTTTTAAAAATCAATTCCTAAAAAACCTTCATATTCCAAGTCCAAAAATCACCACTATATTCCATCACAACCACCTCCACCTTCCACCACCACTACTACCACCTTCCACCACCTCCACTGACTTTCACCACCAATCACCGCTTTCCACTACTACCATCGCTTTTCACCACCACTACTGCCGCCACCGCCACCACCTTCCACCAGCACAACTATCGCCATCACCTTTCACCACCTTCCACCAGCACCACTATCACCATCACCTTTCACCACCACCACTGACATCGCCTTACACCACCACTGCCACCACCGCCTTTCACCACCACCACTGCCGCCGCCTTCCACCACCACCACCACCACCACCATTGCCACCGCCTTTCACCACCTTCCACCACAGCCGCCACCACCACCACTGCCACCGCCTTTCACCACCTTCCACCACAGCCACCACCACCACCGCCTTCCCACCACCATCTTCCACCACCGTCGCTTCCACCACCACCGCCATCGCCTTCCACCACCTTTTACCGCCATTACCTTCCACCACCAACGCCGCCACCACCACTACCGCCTTTTACCACCGTCTTCCACCACCACCATAGTCACTTCCATTGGCTTCCACCACTGCCACTTACACCACTATTTCCTTCCATCACCACCATCAACACTCTTGTTATTGCCTTCCACCACTGCTGCTTTTCACCAACATCTCCGCCTTCCACCATTGTCGCTGCCGCCGCCTTCCACCACCACCACCACCTACACCACTACCACTTTCCACCTCCACCACCATCCACCACAGCCACTACCACCATTTATTTAAAAAAAATTATAAAAGAATATCATTTTGTTAATTTATTTTATTTTTTACTAACAGGGATATTTTGGATAATTTAATTTGAAATTTATTCCATTTTAAATTTAAAATTGGTCAAACCAAATATTAGAGTGGTTATTATCATTTCATTCATACACATTTCATATTTACAACTAAACAATAGAATGAGAATGGCCATTCCATTTCATTCCCATTCGCATTCTATTCCCACTCGCATTTCATTCCATTCATGCACACTAAACGTAGCATTAATGATAAATAATTTTCTTTATAAATTTAGGCCTTTTGAAAAGTCCAAAATGAAAAAGGAAATTGACTCTCGCATATATCAGGCAACTGCGACCGGTTGCACTTTTTAAGAACAACATCCTTCAACGGAGTTTGAGACATACTATAACAATCCTCACTACGGCTTAAATTTCGTCAATAAATGTGCTCCCCCATAACTTTACCTCGAACCAAGCATCTTTGTTCTTTTTTCTTTCATTCTTTCTTGGTCATCTACGCCATTCCATCATAATCACCCATTGTTAGCAAGCTCCAAGTTCAGCTGATTTGCGAACTTGGAACCCACTCTCACATCACCGAATTAGAATTTCCTTACTTATGGGATAAAGGTTTATGTTGTTGCAATTGTGAAAACTTATTCCTTCACTTGCCACTCTTAACCATCCACCACTCTAGTAGATCTAAAAACGGGCTTTCATTCGGTCTTTGCAATGATTCCACTTAGCATAATTTTCTCCAATAAAATATAGATATTGTTTACATTTCTTCCCATAAGCATAATGCACAGTCCTCTTCCAATTTTCATCAAACAATATTTTACGTCACAACAACAACATGACGTACGATCGTCAAGGTCCTTATCTCGAATTTAATTATTCTAATGCCCATAACTTCACAAGAAGAATCATTCCCCGTAAATACCTTACCAGTTATAGGTTTATAAGAGGTAAACCACTATTTATGGGGACGCATATGATAGGAACATACATAATCAAATATCCACTTCTTATCCTCTCTCTTGCTATCAAGGATTGAAAGGGCTTCATCAACATAACCTTTTACATTCATAGTCTTGAACATATATAACAATAGTGTATGCTACTCTCTGAATTTTTAGGACAATGTCGTATTATGTGTCTTTTTCTCCACAACCTAAACACTTCACCTCCATGATTGATGTCCAATTCCTTGGAGCTTCATCTCTCTATCTACCACTTTTTGCTTGCTTTCTTACAAACTTCTCCTTTTCTTAAACAACAAGAGCTTGAGGCTGGCCATATTGATCCGTACCATCCATCTTCTCATTGGAGAATAAAACACACTTAACTTGTATATGAGGAGAATGTACTGATGTTAATAAGATAATAGTTTTATCCTCATCACTCAATTTAACACCGGCCAACATCGGATAAGTCACATATAATCTTGTTAAACTCACCAAGATGCTCATGCAAATTCACACCTTCCGTTCTATGTAACGAATACAACTCTTGCTTTAAGATCAGTTGATTGGTGAGAATCTTTTCCATGTAAAGATTCTTCAATTTTTTCCATATACATATCCGCGGCTGAAGATTCTTCTATCACAGTTTACACAACATCAGCTGTCAACTGCAATCGAATAGCATGCACTCATCGCATTCAAGTTTACTTGTCCCACTTTGTAGCATCCATCTCCGTTGATTTTCCTCCCAATGCCTCTTCCAAACCTTGCTGAATCAATAAACTCGTCTCCAAGTTTATTTGAGACTGAAGTTTTTTCTTCCACCAAAATTTTTTATCGCATATTATACATTTTTAGTGGTTGTTGCCATGGTTCTAATACCAACTTATAGGACTTAACTTTCCCAATATCTCAAACAATAATAACAAGAAAACAAATGAAGGAACATATACACACATTAACAATAGAGATTTACAT